AAAAAAAAAAAAAAAAAAAAAAAAAAAAAATCAGTTTTACTCGAGTTCAAATTTTATCATGATAAAGAAAAAATGTCACTTTGCTTTATTTTATTTTCGCGATGATCTAAAATTGATTATTTCATCTAATTATCCTTTAATGTTTGCATCCAGAAATTTCACATATACAAAAAATTAACCTTTTCTTTCTTGTTGAAATCGTAAAAATCCTGCTGAATATTCACTGTAGATTTTAAACTTACTGCATTTATTTACAAATAAAGCAAATATTCGAATTAAAGCGTCCTGAAAATGAAAAAATATTGAAGTTAAAATCAGAAACAACGAATTACGCTAGGTGAGTAGACACATATCCTGAATTAGTTGCAATATACGGAAAGCCAATTACTCGAAGTTGCTGTTCCGAAATATCTGTTCCATGGACTGTGTCTCCGGCAGCATCTATTAGTGAGGTCAAAAAAGATGTCTGTACTTTCAAGAGCTTCTCAGTGAGCTCTAAAATTGGCAGGTTCGAAGGCCTCAGATACTGGGATATAAGCTGAAATTGTATGCAATTACATTACATTTTAAAATAACGTCGATGAAAGGTTTTTACAGACAAGGTTAAACATGTTGCTAACTTTCTGTAAATGTTTGACATAAATCTCTTCAGTTGTCACTAGTTCGGTAATGCTGCTGATCAGATGACCCTTTGACAGATCACTGAAATGTGAAATTTGTAAGGCGGTATTCGGCACACTACGCCTACGTTCTTCTTTGTTATTCAGTTTTTCAAAAGCCAATTGGGACATTAGTACAGGATCTCGTCGACCAGATTTGTAATTTGAACATCTCAATGGTCCTGACCAAAACTTTTCTCCCTTAAAAGGCTGGATAACAGAAAAAGCAAATTTTTTTTACTCAAATTTACCATCTTTCTTATTGGCATAATTTAACGTTCTTTGAACTGTTAAATTGTTCTTCCATACCTGCTATGATTTGCAAACTTAAAGTCAAGAAGCAACAGCGAAAGTGGTGAACACCGTTAGAGCATCAAAAGAACAAACTTGTTTGACACTAGCGTCCTGATCGACTGGAGGTCGCTCCATACTTCTTGCTCTCAAATTAGAATTTTGACCAATTTGTGGATGCTGCCAGCTAGCTGACGGGACAGCGCCAGCAGCAGCATCGTGCTCATCGGGCATCTGCGAGTGGAATGACCGCTGCATCCGAATCGGTGTTCTACCATGCCTTTGCTTGTCTTTCTGTTTGATCATGTGAGTCGTGGTGACATCATTGTTACCCTTTCCACCCTGTTCTAATTTGATCTTTGGCATACTCTTCTAAAAGGTTCATTCACTTTTCTATGTGCTACACATTCTTCTTCTGTACGTTTTGCAAAATACTTTTTATTACAGTGACAACGGCTTCTTTTTACCAACCAGTCAATCATTTATTAAAACGCTAGAAAAGTTAAGCCACTTTCCCAATTTCAATTCTAAGCTAAAAAAAATAAAGAACCAACTGAAGGTTGGCAGCTGGCAACCGAAAGTTGATGGCTAACATTTCCACCGGAGTCTGTTTCCAAATCGGTGTCGAAATTAACAATTTTGATTTCTTGCGGTCTTTTACAAATGTTACATCGTTTTTCAGGTGTAATATCAATTCTAGCACCATCCTGAAACCAAATTTTCTTTTCTTTGTTCCTTCAAAAAATGTCAACAAATAAAGCAAGTAACACCAAACTATACGTATCTTTTTGCTTAATTGTGTTAGTTATAATTATAGTTTTAACTTTCAAATACTGTAAGCTTTTATCGTGCTGGAAAAGACATTTCATTAAACTTTATATAAGTAAAATTAGTTTTTGTTAAGCCGTCTAAAGGACTACCCTTTTTTTTATGTTATTGGTACTCATAAGAGAAACAAAGCCTACCAAATCGGAGGAAGCTAACGAAAAGTAGTTGTGGAAAGTGAAACTCTAAATTTATACGACCAAGGCAGGTGGTAAAAGGTAAGAAAGCTAATACTTTACTAATAAGATAGCTTTGATGAAAAGATGGATGAGCAATGCTGCTGTTTGGTAATACAGAAAAAGTATTAGGAAATTGCTTGAAGATAAGGAAGTGTTGCCGCCAATTATTCTAATGTTTTAAACTTCACTTGGCAGTGTATCAATCTGTACAGCGGTTGGTCAGCAAGCAATATATGGCCGTAAAAGACGCGACAAATCAGATGACTATTGATACGGTTTTGGGATCTCCTTCCAAAGAACTTATTTGAAGGTATGCTACAGATGTAGATTGATGCTACATTTGGTGTTTTGGCTGATCATCTGGTTCTATGGGTTTTTTTGAAATTGTACTGCTTATTGCTGCTTTTCTTACCAGCTACTCTTAGACTAGAATTCTTTTTGTTGCTGAGGGTAATGCAGTTTATAACTTAAAGTAACGCGAAAGGTCCTGTCAGTGAAAACAACTTGTGTTAAAGATAGAGTGCTAATGATATCTGTTCTAAGTTTTCATTGAGCCTTTGTTGCTTCCTTTAGTGTTTTTTCGGAAAGGGTTCTTGCGTGAACCATGTTTACACCAAAACGATAAGAAGCATTATAAGACGATGCTCTAAAAGTTCAACCTAATGCATTTGCATTCATATCAACTAAAAGTTAACCAAGAATAAGTACTCACTTTGCTGTTGCTGTTACTCAGTATATAATTTATGGAAGGATATAAACGGATGGATTTATTGCTAACACTTGTTTATCTGATAGACTATTTCTAGAACTTTTAAATTATGTCTCACCCTACAGTGTTGCTGCCCATACAGCTCGTATCTGTTTGCTTCGCTCTTCTTCATATATTTTACTGCTTGCGTATTTATAGACAAATATTTGCATTTATGCATCTTTAATTGTTTTTAAGACCGGGAATGACATTAACACCAGTTCTTAGGGAAATTTAAGACTGTAAAGTTTCGGATAATTAATAGTCATAAAAAATGGCAATTGACAGTGAATTCTTGTAGCAGTCGATTTAACATATGCGAAAGCCTGTTAGCACTATTTAGTTTGAGCTCTTCTACCTACGCCGTTTCCACTCCTAAGCATACTGGTTAATGTTAAATATTTTAGAGATCCAGCATCAGTGTAAAATGCCAAGAAGATTGCTTTTTTCTAGATCAGGTCCCCAATTAGAAACATATTTAACCATTTTATTTACCAAATATACATTTCACTCCATTGTGCGCGGAAAAAGCCTACTTTGTTTGACTGAAGAGAATTTTTGGAATTACTTGATGGAATTACGTTAAACAGACAATAATTAAGGACTCGGAAATTTATATAGGCAACCACTTTTGAGCAACTATATAGATACAGTAGGATAAATAATTGATTAACAAAAACTTTTTTTACACACAACAGATTATAACTTTGGAATTTACTCGGTTTTTGTGAAGACTGAATGGATAGAAGTCAAAAGTGAAAATGTGCGTAAAGAAACATTGATCTGTTATACTTTAGAATGAGAGGATTGAGTGTCAAATACTCATTACTATGTATTCAATCTTAAAATTCTTAAATTTATTGTTTTATTTTTGTTTTTTTGTTCTACTGAAGTTTTAGTGTTCATCGAACACTGGTAGTTTCTAATAATATTTGATCTGCTCATTCATTAAAGAAATGGATACATTAATTTGGCATTTAAATTCCTAAGAAAAAAAAAAAAGAAAAAAATATATTTAGATTAGATGTAAGTTGAAAAAGAGATTTGTATGTGTTTTGTTTATAATCGCTTTGTTTATTTTTTTTTCTGCTTTAACTCGTGGGAACTAAATGGTATTTACTTAGATGCTTCTCTAGAAAGTTTTAGTTGTAGTTTTAATATTATCTGCAAAAACAAAGATATACATAGATGGTGATGAGAAAGTATAAAAAGATTAAGGACAACGGCGTGCGGTCAGCAGTACTGAGCAATGACGGTGGCTAAACACCGCGAAGTGTCTGCTATGATCGATGTTCCGGAACCGTAATGCAGTTGGCCAGAACTTCGTTTGTCGCTGACACCTAAGGACATTCAGGCGGAAATTAAGTTGCTTTGTTTTGTTCGTTCAGCATTTTGTAGCTAGCCCTGATTAAGTAAAGGAAATTGAACTGAATTGTTGTTGTCGTCGTCTTTTAACAGCATTACTGCTGCTACCACCAGCGCTGTTCAATGTGTCTGCTATCAACAATATTTCATTTTAGTTTAAGCTACGAAAAAAAATTGGCAAAATATTGAGTAGTGTCTGTCTAGAAAAAAAAAAAAGAATAATTGTAAATTGATAGGAAACGAAGCGAAGAAAAGGCAGAGGCGAAAAAAAAAAGAAAATAAAGGAAGCGAAATAGGAGTCTTTGAAGGCAAAGAGGAAAAAAAGATTGGAACAACCTTTTGCTGTACGCAATTTTCTTTTATAAATTTTTTTTTTTAGGAGGAATATGGAAAACAAAAAGAAGAATAAGGGAAAGAAGCAGTTGAATAAAGTAACAAGACAAATAAATGTAATTAGCAAAACGTGCGACAAAAAAGGTAAATTTTTTTTGCTTTTTTATCATTTTTTGCAAATGCATTTTAAGTGACATTTCCGGGGGAAAAAACTTTTGTACAGAAAAAAAAAGATTATAGTCAGTTTTTCTTTTTTTCATTCTGTTTCACTCCTGTTTCTTGGAAGCATATGGAACATGAGCAAATACATACGTACCAACACCCTCTCTTCCTCCCTCCCCCCTGCCCCCGAAAAAAGGAATACATTCATTTGAAAGGAACACATTAAATTGATCTTCGTAGAACGGAGTAAGGGGAAGAATTTTTTCCTTCTTTTTTTCTTTGAATAGAAAAATAATTTTGCTGTTTAAAAAAAATTTTTTTTTCTTTGCTTTTGAAAAAGCTCATTTTAACAACCTATTCTTTTTTTTTTTCACTTTTGCACTGACCAAA